CTTGGTTTGTCGAGAATGAAGAGCTTGGTTACTCTTGATCTCTCCAACCGTTTTCCAGACCGGAGAATACAGATAAAGAATATTCCGGGAGGTTTAAAAGCGGTGTTTAACAATCTAACCGAGCTGAGAGAACTTTATCTTGACGGTGTCAATATTTCAGCTGAAGGGAGACTGTGGTGCGATGTTTTCTCATCTTTGTCTAAGCTACAAGTTCTGACTTTAACTAGCTGTCACCTCTCAGGTCCTATAACCTCTTCCCTTCTTGATCTTAGTTCGCTAACCACCCTCACACTCGATAACAACAATCTCTCAACCGTAGTTCCCCAATTCTTCTCAAGCTTCACAAATTTGACTTCTTTGAGTCTTGTCTCTTGTAATTTAATCGGGAAATTTCCGGAGAAGATTTTTCAGTTACCAACACTGCAGCGTGTATTGTTGTCAGACAATCCCTTTCTCAGGGGAAGTTTGCCAGAGTTTCCCAACCAGGGGTCCTTCACCGAGATCATCCTCAGTGAGACAAACTTTTCAGGTTCTTTACCAGACTCTATCGGGAACCTTCGAGCGTTGTCTAGGATAGATTTGTGGACTTCCAATTTCAGCGGACCAATTCCTGCCAATTTGTCGAATCTTGAAAATTTGGTCTACCTTGACTTGTCATATAACAAGTTCAATGGTTCTGTTCCATCATTCCAGATGTCCAAAAAGCTCGTGCATATAGACCTGTCCCATAATTCTTTTACTGGTCCTATTCCTTTCGCTCAATATGCAGATCTCAGAGATCTTGAATCCATTAACTTGGGGTATAATTCCCTGACAGGGAACATTCCCTTGTCTCTGTTTACTCTCCCGTCCTTGCAGGAACTCCGACTTTCTAATAACAAGTTTGATGGTCAGATGAACGAAATTCCCAATGCTAGCTCCTCTTTACTTGATGTACTGGATCTCGGCAGCAACTATCTTGGAGGATCCATTCCAAAGTTCATTTTTGAACTCAAAAGGCTTACTGTCCTATCAATTTCATGGAACACTTTTAGTGGAACTGTAAGTCTAGAAATGTTCCAGGGGCTCCCTCATCTTTCTGAACTTGACCTTTCTTACAACAATTTGTCAATAGATGCAAGTAGCAATACAGGTACAAGCTTATCCTCATTTCCACAATTGTCTGTACTGATGTTGGCTTCTTGTAATCTGAAAATTTTCCCTGATGTAATAAAGAATCAATCCAGAACGATGCATTTAGACCTATCATTGAACCATATCACAGGGCAGATTCCAAACTGGATTTGGGATGTTGGAGGAGGATATCTTGAGCAGCTAAACCTTTCTTTCAATCTTTTAGCAGAAATTCAAAAGCCGTACACCATTCCTTCTGCTCTCCTTGTGCTAGACTTACATGCCAATCAGCTCAGGGGTGAAATACCCACTCCACCGCTGCAATTCATATATCTAGACTACTCTAGCAACAATTTTAACCCATCTATTCCACCCAACATAGGTGATTACTTGTCCTATGCTGTTTTCCTTTCTCTTTCAAATAATAGCATCACTGGAGCTATCCCTGAATCCATATGCAATGCAACTTATATAGAAGTTCTTGATTTGTCTAAAAATGCCCTGAGTGGTAAATTACCAGCTTGTCTTCTAGGAATGGAGTTTCTTGGGGTATTAAACCTAGGGGAAAATAACCTTCACGGTCTGATTCCTAATGCATTCCCAGACAAATGTAGCCTAAGAACCTTAGACCTCAGGATGAATGCCCTTGAAGGGAAGATACCAAGATCGTTGCAAAATTGCAAACAGTTGCAAGTTCTCAATGTTGGGAAAAATAAAATGGAAGACACATTTCCATGCATGTTGATGAAAGCAACAGATTTGCTAGTCCTTGTTCTGCGATCCAACAGGTTTCAAGGTGAAACTGTCTGTCCTCGGTACAATCACAGTTGGACAAGTCTTCAAATTTTGGACATTGCTCACAACAACTTTAGTGGTGCTTTGTCCCCAAAACACTTCTTCAATTGGAGAGTAATGATGACTGAGGAAGATAATGAAGCAAAGTACCTGCAATTTGGCTTCATGGAACTCAGTAACTTGTATTACAAGGATGCTGTGACACTGACTATTAAAGGGCTTGAACTCGAGCTTGTTAAGATTCTGAAAGTGTACAAAGTTATTGATTTCTCAGACAATAAATTCCACGGGCAGATACCGATGACAATTGGAGAACTCAAACGACTTTACATTCTCAACTTATCTCACAATTCCCTCACTGGCATGATTCCAGAATCAATCGGAGACTGCACTCAGCTTGGTGTATTAGACCTCTCAATGAACCAGCTAACTGGGATGATTCCGGTAAAGCTTGCAGGCCTTACATTTCTTTCATTTTTGAACCTGTCCTTTAACCAGTTGTCAGGAGAAATCCCAGTTGGCCGCCAACTCCAAACATTCACAGATGCTTCCTTTTATGGAAACAGAGGTCTCTGCGGATTTCCCCTAAGCATAAGCTGCAACAAGTCAGAAGCCAATGGCTTGTCATGGATAAATGCATCATTCGAGTCTGAGAGGGACTCTTCCAGGAATGAGATTGAGTGGGAGTACGTTAGTGCTGCCTTGGGATTTAGTGTAGGGTTAGGAATCATTTCCTGGCTGAACTTTTCTAGTCCAAGATGGTGGGAAAAGTTTATTGCACTTGTCCTTCAACTCCTCCTGAGGATTCTGCATCGGCAGGTCAGACAAAAGTACTGCAGGACTCCAATTCGGAGACTTTAGGACTTATCAATATTGCTTTCATAAAGTTTCATTGGCTTTTTTTGGAATACTAGTGTGCAATAAATTATTAATAATTTTTATTTTTTGCATTTCTTTCACTAATTTTAAAAATATAAATTGTTGTGATGAGTTGATGTGACTTATTTCCTGCCAGATTTTAATGCGGAAACTCGAATATCAGCTTTTCCAATTTCCAGCATCATCTTTAACCTAATTTTTACAACAAAAAAAAAATTTTAATTTTATAAAAAGTCATTTTTACAAGTTGTTCATGTAAAGAACTACCATTATTATCGTTTGGATTGCTATTTTTAAGATTTTTTTTGTAGAAAAATGTATTGTAGTGATTTGATATACATGAACTAAAAAAGTAATTGCAAGATGTGCTTGTGGAAAATATAAAAATTTTTCTGCAGAAAATCACAATCCAAATTTGATATACATGTGTTTGTGATTTTCTGCAGAAAAATTTCTGGAGGGATTTTTAATTTTCTTGATTCAATGATCCTTACCCTATTTCTGAAGCCATCAACAGCAATTGTGATTTTTACCATTTCTATAAATATACTGAAAGAAATACACATACTGTAACTTTGTATAGAGGATAGGCATTACAACTTGCCAATGAAACTGAACTTCTAACAATCAAGAAGTAACCCTCTCTGTTTCTGCAATGGGAAAAGGCAAACTGCTGGATATCTTTCCAATATGATTCAAGCCTTTATGGCTGTAATAAAGGTGAAGCTTTTGGATTTTTTGTTAGATGTAACAGTCAATCTGAATAGTTTAACTTTCAAATAAAATTATGATGATATTTTTAAATCACCCATCAATTTAAGGTTAACTTCTGAATAAAATCTGAAGGCAAATTATACTAAGGTTAAAATGAGATTTTAGAAAAAAAAATTCACACTTGCTTCGTCCTTAATGCTACCATTGTGATAAAAAAAAATGCTTATATATTTTTGTCTCATACAAAGGACAAAAACAAATTACAAAAGCAAATATTCGTTTGAATTACTATCTTCTAGAGTTTTGTTAAAAAAATATATTGTAACGATGTAACATATGTATGCGAGATAAATAAGTGATTAAAAAAAGATATCCTACAAAATGATTTTTTTTTTAAGTTGTAATCCAAAGTTTTTTTTTTTTTTAAAATTACAGATAGAATTGAAGAAGAAACAAACACATAAGTTTTTTTTTAATTTTAAATTACATTATTTTAAAAGTGAGGGACTACAAAAGTGTAAACACCAATTGCTTGGAAAGCAATTTTCCAAAAAAAAATTGCTACATTTTTCATGAATATATTTTTTAGTCACATTTTTATCTCATATATATCAAATCGCTACACTATTTTTTTTTTAAATAAAAAATCCAGAAAATTTCAATCCAAACAAATTCATCTTTTTTCCCCTGAGAATAAACACCAATTGCATTTGGTTGCACAAAAAAATTTTAACTGCATTTGGATTGGTCATTTTTTGAAAAATAATATATAATGTTACAGTAATACAAAAATAAAAATAATCACAAAAGTACCAAAAATAACCTCAAAAACACAAAAAAAAAATAATTTTAAAAACACCAAAAACATGCTCAAAAATCTCATCATCAGTAAAAAAATTTCACTTACATTACTACAGTAAAATGTTTCAAAAACACTCTAAAATACCTGTACCTGTTTTTCAAATCGAGTTTTTTGTCTTCTTCCAGTTTTCTGTTTGATAAGAAAACCTTGGGGATGGGGTCCCACCTCATAACGCTCCCCCAGATTTGAAACCCCTTTTCCGAAGCGCCAAAACTCAAACCTCTCACCGCTTTTAAAACACACACTCACACACTACATTCACGCTCTCCCACACACACACACAGGGCACTGACCCAGGTACTCTCGAACTTCTCGATTCTAGACTTTAGACGACGACAATCTTTTTCTCTTTTCAGAGAATAATGATAATATAGTGTATAATTTATTTATCTTTTTTTTTTTTCAAAGTGTATAATTTTATCCGTACCAGTTAATGGAATCGAATAGTAAGTACCGGAAGGAAATCGCAATTTAGTTAATTAATTTCGTAATCATTGTAATAATTCTTGATTTAATTGCCTTCACTTTGAATTTTGAATTTGCAGCTTTTTAGATATATAATATATAATTAGTAGCCTGTTGGCTGTTGACTGCGTTAATTTCGAAGCAAATTATATAGTGGTACTTAGTACTAATTAATCTACTTTAGCACTCCAAAGCCTGCGGTGCATTCACTTTTCAACGTATATATGCATCTTTTTCAATGCTTCATTTGAGTTTGGGGGCTTGGTTTCTCTTGTAAGTTTTCAACGTTTTCTTTTTCTGCTTTTGGTTTCCGATTAATTTCAGTAATGTATTTAATCTTTTTTAAATTTGTGTTCTAATTCTGCAGAGGACGTTAATCTTGAAGCTCCAGGTCCAGGTATATAATCATCCCTTTTTTTTTTGGTTTTTCCCCCTATTTAATTATCATTATTGTTTTAAATCTACTTGTACTTCCACTATACATGGAGGAAAATGTGTTGGTGATTGCTGCACGAAAAAGTTCAGATTTTTCTTTTTAGATACGTTTTTTTTTTCTTTTTTACGGTTCTTTCCCTATATTTGATTGAATATGAGAGTATTTAGACAGTGAAAATGAAGTGGAAACATCAGAAATTTGACTAGGGAAGTTTAGTTACTGATTAAATGGAGCCTTCTGTAGTTAACTCTTACTGTCATGAAGAATGGTGTTAGAGTTTAGCAATGTATCACTTGTCTGTAGAAACTCTTTTACCATTGGTGATTACAGTGATGCTCTGGTTCTTGAAGGACAAGCATGGATGGGATTTTGCAGCTTAGAGCTGCGGTTTGACGGAAAGATTGAAATGGGTTCGGAGTATAGAGGTTAAGGAGATGAAGACACAAATAAATATGGTGAAAGGGAAAGGAACTGCGAGGGTGAGTAGTCAGCAGGCGGCTTTTGAGCTAAAACAGCGCGTGGTTCTTGCCTTGAATAAGATTGCTGATAGGGATACTTATCAAATTGGGATTGAAGAGCTCGACAAGGCAATCGAATGCTTAACCCCAGATGGGCTTTCCTCATTTTTCTCTTGCATATTGGACACTGATTCGGTGCAAAAGAGTGCAGTTCGTAAGGAATGTATTCGATCCATGGCTTCACTAGCAACATACTATGAAGGCCTAGTATTGCCCTACTTAGGGAAGATGGTTGCTAGCATTGTTAAACGGCTCAAGGATTCAGACACTGTGGTGAGAGATGCTTGTGTGGATACAATGGGTGTATTGGCTTCCAAGTTTGGTAGTGATGAGGGTGGAAATAATGGACTTTTTGTTGCTCTAGTGAAGCCTCTATTTGAAGCGTTGGGTGAACAGAATAAGCAAGTACAGTCTGGTTCGGCATTATGTTTGGCAAGGGTCATTGATAATATCAGTGATCCCCCAGTGTCAATATTGCAGAAGATGTTAGCAAGGACTGTTAAGTTGCTCAAGAACCCACATTTCATGGCAAAACCAGCTGTCATAGAACTGAACAGAAGTATCATTCAGGTCTATTTATTTCTTACTGCAAGGTTATTTTTCCATGTCTACTTTCTTTATTCAATGCTTCATTATAGTACTTGTGGATTCAAAATCAGAAAAAAAAAATAAAGAACTTTTTCATTTTGTCTAATAGCATTACAGATTGAATGACCAAGTGAAAATTTTCCTGCTGTCTATCAGCATCTATCTCTTTTTTAATGACCCATTATGGACACTGACTATAATTTAAAACCAGCCCAACCCAAACGGAAAAGAGAAAGGGTGTTAATGTCTTGATAATTACTTTTGGAACATGAGTATTATATTTTCTATTTGATTCATATATATCTGAATGATTTTAGTGTACCATTCAGGCTGGTGGTGCTTCCACACATAGTTTGTTATCTGCAGCCATTGCTAGTATCCAAGAAGCTCTCAAGAATAGCGACTGGATAACACGAAAAGCTGCTTCTGCAGCATTAGGGGATATTGCTTCCAATGGTGGAGCATTCTTTGGCTCTTTCAAGTCTTCTTGCTTGCATTGTCTTGAATCATGTCGCTTTGACAAGGTTAATAATTTCTTGTGACTAAGTAGTTACCACATAGTAGTTAATGCTCCAAGAGCTTCAATTGTGTGAAAAGTTAGTTGGAGTTTTATGTGATCCATCCTTGTTGTTTAGGTTAAACCAGTCAGGGACACAGCACTGCAGGCATTACAAATCTGGAGAAACCTTCCTGGAAGTGATACACCAGAACCATCAGAAGCTGGGTCTTCAGTTAAAGGTCTTATAGATGGTGCCATTATTGTTACTTCCTGTGAGCAATGCAATTTAAAATGTTCCCTTTCGAGTTGCTTTCCAGCGGATAGCTGTTCCTAGCTGTTTTTTCCTCCAAATAATGGTTGACTTTGTTATTATTGTAACAGCATCTAACAGTTATTTGCATTGTGCAGAAAATTTCTATAGAGACGAGTATTCTGATATAGCAAGTGCCTGTACTTCTACACCCAAGGATGCTCGAATTAAGAGAATTGGTACAAACTCAGTCAAGAAAAGGGTCCCTCTCTCTTTCAAAAAATCAGGGGACAATCTTATTGAAAATGCTCAGCATTCAAAAGCAGGTGATTGGAGCATAGAAATTGCAGTTCCAAAGACTCGTAACATTTCTTTGTCAGATGTTCAATACGAAGAATCTGAGGGTAGTTGTGTTACTAAGACATGTGAAAGAAGTGGTGGTAGGACAAGTACTCAGGATGTGGAATATGAATATGTGCATGCGGATGACAAACAGGAGTGCTCTTCTGCCTCTGCTCATTTTCCCGAGAATTTTGAATCTAAAGCATTGACAGTTTGTCCTAGTGTCCTTGATGAAGTTAATCTTGTAAAGAAAACAGGTAGAGGTCCACTTTTTACAACTGAAGAAATGAGCACTGAAGAAAAAAGATGCAGGTCCCAAATCCGGGATCGTCATAGCTTGGACTCCACAGTTACTGAATCCAGTTTTCCCACAATGAATGGCTGTTGCTCGAAAACGGCAAATGACATAGCATCCATTCGAAAACAACTTCTGGAGATTGAAAATAAGCAAACAGATCTGATGGATTCGTTGAGGGTAATCTTTTCCAATTTATTGAATACTGTAAATGGTTCAAGCCTCCTTCCTTGTGTTACTTATCATGCCATCTGGACATGCTATCTATATAAACTTTTGAAAATAAAAAGAATACTTGTAATAATTTTCAGGACCAAAAAAGTATTATGTTTGATTCAGCAAATACTACTCTACAAGGCAAAATTGTGTTTAGAAGTGTCTGATTGACGAACTTAGGGGAAGGGAAATTTAATTGAGTAAACAGAATAGTCAAGTTTATTATTGCTAGCTTTACCTGCTTAAAGCAGCTAAGACCTAATTATTCTCTTGTTTCTCTTAAAAGTTCTCTTCTTGAATCTGTGTATATAAATGGTTCCATAGCTTTAACTTTCGGACTTAAGAAATTTCTCTGTGCATCTGATATATGTCTTGTTACTCAACATTTTCAGGTTTTCACGTCCAACATTATGGATAGTTTGTCAATGATACAGTTGAAAGTGTCAAGTCTTGAAGATGTGTTTGAAGGAATGACACGAGAGCTTTTCAATGGGGGAAGAAGTACAGGTATAGTTGCAGCCACATTTTTGAAGAGAAACTTAGATTCTTGTTCTCCTAGAATCTCTACTTGCACTCCCAGACCATCTGTGGATATATGCAATAGACAGTCTGCATCATTGCCACCAAAAGCTGTGGATACTTGGGAGGAAGAAGCATCTACCAGGAGCAGATCAAGCAATTTTGCTAGACAAGGTGCAGACGTATGGACTAATCCATCTCAAAAGTTGAGTAAAAGTACTGTGGGAAAGGGCATCCACGGACATGGTGGCCAAATGAGAAAAACTGAAAATGTCTTTGCTTCAGTTTCTGCTGTGAACAGTAGACAGCGCGGTGCAGATGGAAAGGATAATCTGTGGAGAGGTGTAAGTGGTTATCTGTCTGAAGGAAATTTTGACTCCGCATATGCAGAAGCTCTTTGCTCTGGGAGTGAGCTTATTTTGTTTGAGCTTCTTGATAGAACAGGTCCTGTACTGGAATATTTATCGGAGAAGACAACCTGTGACCTGTTGAATACTTTGGCATCATATTTATCAAAGAAAAAATTTGCAACTTCCATTTTCCCTTGGTTGCAGCAGGCAAGTTGCTCTTGATTCCTTCTCTTATTGACTTGAGCACTTCGTTTTCCTTTATCCTTTGTAGGGCGGCCCTTGTCATTTTCTCATCGCGTCCTTCCTGTGTTGTTGCATTAGATGATTTACTCTGATGAATTTGTGGTACGAATAGAATAAAGCCTTAGGTACTAAGTAGGATAAATTTCAACTCATTGCTAGCTCTTGGCATTATTAGAAACCATTTCTCCACTGTTATGTACCATCTCAGCTGACCATTACAAGATAGAGCACACTTCTTGCATAGATTGATAGAAGCGAAGGGTGTGAAGCAAAGTGTGTGAAGCAAATGCTGCCTTAATGACCAGTTTCAAGGTTTTCTGAACAATGCTGCTTTGTGAATCATGTAGATTTTCTAAGACATCACTTTAGTTTGTCATGATACCAGGAAAAGAAAAGCTCTGGCACTATTTAATTTGACTTCATCTTCCTTATAAATTGGTACTAAACTTATTACACTTAGAGTTGCTTTTCTTGTTTAGATAATTGTTTGAGGAGTCCCTGTGGTATCTTTAACTTCAACAAATTTCGTATCTTTGTTTCTTTCTTGACTAAGCCGCAATTTATGTAAGTTAGTGCCCACACTAGAAGTTGTTTGATGGCTGCCTTCAATCTCAAAGCAATAGTAAAACTCACCCTATAAGTGGTAAGTGGCTTTGACAGATAAGGTGCTAAACTATGGGTCTGCTTGTGTGGCCATACTGAGAAATGAGGATTTTAATGTGAAAACAGTTTTAAATATTATTCTTTACTTGAGGAATGTAGGCTATGCAGCTAAACTTTGTCATTTGAAGACCTCAATATTCAACTGGTAAGTGTGTTAAATAAATGGTTTTACTTGGCCTACAATTAATTTTTTCACTTTGGGTTGGGGGGGGGGGGGAGGATGGGGTTGTCTGACTGCAGCTCATGGGGAGGTGGTGGAGGAGTTTCTATGGATTCCTAAGGACAGTTTTCAAATGCAAAAGGATTGGTATTTTACTTTTATTGATAACTTTCTAGCTCTGGGTTAACACTGTAGACAATGTAGGAATGACATGAAAATCATCACATCATATTACATTTAAGGTTAAATCTTAGAAGAATCTTTAGCAACTCTTAACTGTCCATTAGATAGTGATGCCTTTCCATTATGATCAAGTTTGTTCTGCTGGTATACATAAAAAGATGATTGGAACAAACTCTTTTGACCTCAGGTTGTGGACTTGACTGCCATCCATGGACCCAATTACGTTGTTATTTCTTCAAAAGCAAGGCGTGATTTCCTGTTAGCTGTTCAACAAATTGCCGGTTTGAAATTTTCTAACCCAGTTGAGAGGAGATTTGTGACAGAGCTAGCTATGACATTGCAGCAAATGTGGGGTGAGATGTCTTTTGAATATCCAAATTCTTCCTAAGAAAGTCAATTGTAACTGTCTCTACTTTCAGTTTATGTTATAATTTCTTTTTACTTCCTATTGTTGGATGACAGATTGTTGTGTAGTAATTATATGCCAAGAAGATAGTTAATAGAGTTTGTCAGATGAGTAAACATTCCATACTATCAACTGTTTACGTTTGAGAAGTTTTCTCTTTGGGGCTGTTGAGGTATATAAGAAAGCCATGGGACTGGTATACAGAGAACTTTTTATTTAATTTTCTTAACCTACAATGAATAGGCTTAGGTTTTTTAAAAGTTTTGAATTCTGAATATTTCTGTGCTTGTACTAATTATTTTAATTGGATTTGATTTAAGGTTAGTACAGATTGAAGTTTCCTTACTCCAGCGCCTTCATTTCTCTATCCTATACTTTTTAAGCGTTTTATACTTTTTTTTTTTCTCTTTCTCATCCTTTTGTTGTCTACCTGGTATATAAATAATCATCTTTGGTGCATTCACTGGCAGCTGGTGAGACTACTTGGTATAATTCTTAATTTATGATCATTAGCCAGTTTAAAAGCAACCTGGAAACAAGGATAACAAAAAGACTTTAGGAGAGGAAGCTTGGTTTCCATATTCCAATGATGATTGTGTCAGATTTTTCTATGACAGTTAACTCGTTTTTTCTTCTTTCGTGTAGGAAAATGCTCCTAGCAAGCAAATGCCCTTGGTGTATTTACAATGCTCCATGTCCATGTGAGGAAGGTGACAAGCCAAAAGCTGATTTGCTATGTAACTTGATTATAAGTTGATTTAGCTTCCCTTTCCTGATAAAACTGCTACTTGTGCTTGCTTACTGGACTGGCTTGGGGGAAGCCTTTGTTTGCTAGAAAGATCCTTAATTTCCAGTGTCCCAAGTATTGATACAATTTGAATGCGTAGGGATGGTTAGACTGCACTTTCTGGTCTACCAACTTTTGTTTTCCTTGTGTTTGGCCCGACGGGAAAAATTCACTTTTCGTCTTTAAATTTTGAGTTAGGAACACATTTCATTCTCAAATTTTTAAATGCACCACATATAGTACATGAATTAATTATTTTGGACCACATTAGTCCAAAAACCCTAAAATATTCAATTTGGACGGAGAAAGTTGATGTGGCGTTGATTTTGACTGAGAAATTATTTTTACTTAACAGTCACGTGCTAAACATGTGACTTTCTCCATCCATTAAGCAATTTACCTTTTTGGATTAAATGTGACAAAAAATAATTAATTCATGTATTAAATGTGGTGCGTCTAAAAGTTTGAGAACGAAATGTGTTTCTAACTCAAAATTTAGGGACAAAAAGTGAATTTTTCCCTTGGACCAACATAAGATCCGTATGAATACTGCTGGAAAATGTTGAATTTCCACCATATCCATTGCTCCGAAGAGGGATGTTTGGGGGAAAAAATCATCATAACTTGCCTTCATTCCACCGTACTAAGAAATGACAAAAGTTCACCCTTACCGTTTTGTTATCGGAATAGCGAAGAGAATAAGTGCCTAATTTCCCTTGAAATCTAAAGAAATCGCAACAGAGAGAGAGAGAGAGAGGGGCATGGAATTAGGTGCAAGTGAGAACGACCCGAGCGTTGGAGTATGACTATTTGTTCATTTGTCTCTTTCACGTACCAAACAAAGATGCTTTAGCAGCTACAGTTTAGTCAAGATTTTGTTCCTCAATTCCTCAGGGGTATTAGTTTCTTCAATTAAACAAATTTTTAGCATAAATAGAGCTTGAAATGAATTTCAGTCCCTTAATATTTCCTCATGACATGTTTTTCTTCCCTTCTATTTCGCATGAAACAAATCGTTGTGTCTAGAAGACTAATTTTTTTAAATATAAAATCACAAGCACATTATGGTTGAGCTGCTCCATAGTCCAAATTGCACATAAAACAGACGTACCAAAACTCAAGCTGTATACACGAAAAAAATTGATGTCTCTTCCAATACCTAAAAGTTCCTACAATTGTCTAATAGAAACAAGAGATTTCCAACATGGTACACTAGGCAAGTAACTTCATGAGATGATATTCATCTTTATGGTCAATCTTCAAGAAAATTTTCTCTCACCTAGTCCAGCATCTGGGAAAGAACTGTAAAGATCGCACTCCTTCGGAGGCTCACTTCTGCTCCTTCCATTTGTTTGTTTGCTTTTTGGAGGCCTGACATCTCTTTGACTCTCACTTTTCAGCTGGTTTTTCTGCTCTGTGGCCGGACTGTCAGGCATTCCTCTCGGGACTTCATAAAGGGTTACACTTCCACCTCCACTCTGAAGCATTTCCTCCTCTCGACTTCCAGTTTGAGTTTGAAAGCCTTCCAGTAATTCGACCACTTGGCTCATGACAGGCCTCCCTCTCGGGTTTTGGCTAAGACATTGATATGCAAGAACTGCCACCTTTACGGCGACTTTAGTAGAGTATTGCCCTTCCATTCGAGGGTCCAGTATTTTCAAAAGCTTCTTGCTGCTGTTAAGAAGTGGGCGAGCCCACTCCACAAGGTTATGCTCCCGGCTAGGCCTACTCTTATCCATTGCTCTCCTTCCAATAAGCATCTCAAGCAAGACGACCCCAAAGCCATAAACATCACTTCTTGCGGTTAAATGTCCTGTACAGTTGAATAATGGCAACAAAATTTTAAGTTATTATTAAAAAGGATCTAAATGACAAAGGTGTGGAAGAATGATCCATGGCACATACAGCTGATAAAAGAAGATTATGACAATTTTTTACCCCCATAGCATGTACTCACAACTAAGGTAAGAAAAGATGGAAAAGATATCTACAGGACTTCAATTTTAAATATAATTCCACCAGTTTTACGCAATCCCATACTCAGAAAAATGGTTATGATTATGATTAAAATAACTAGGTACTGGCTACCATTGTTATTGCTGTTCTTATTATCCTAGTCATTATTTAAACCCTTATATTGTCATCAAGAGCACTTATTTTCCTTCTCCATCAACCAAATTGGAAGGGTGACCCTCCCTCTTTGAAATTGCGATGGAGGCTTGGCAATGACAAGCTATCCCTTCAGAGGATTCTACCATGTAAGTTAGATAACCTCAAAGTGAAGCGCATTTACATGTCCCCAACTCCAGAATCAGGAAACCGTGAAGACCAAACTTATAATTACACAACTTATAATTACACAAGAATATGACCTAAAATTGCACCAAGAAAATCTCTAGCAAGAATGATTATACAAAATAGTGATCCACAATTAATGGTCCAAATACAATCAAGAAGAAAAAAGGAAAGGCCAGAGGGGAAGTTGATCTATGCCAAGCATCAACCAACAGAAAGAACTACAATTAGCTCTATTCTTTCTATGAAATCAACACGTATACAAAGTTCCTGACATGCAAAACGGCTAAACTGTACATTCTATAGGATAAGTAAATTATATTTCTCTGTTTAACAAAATATAAAAAGATCAATTTTGACAAACAACATTACTCCTGCAATTTTACATTACTATTCTCACCAGTCATGACATACTCAGGAGCTGCATAGCCGTAGGTACCCATGACTCGGGTTGATACATGTGTTTGATCTCCCATAGGCCCATCCTTTGCAAGTCCAAAGTCAGAAAGCTTTGCATTGAAATCCTGTAAGTTCAAATTGGGCCATTAGCCAGTGTAGTGAAGAAGACATCTAAAACAATTCCTTTTTCATCTTTTCCATGTTTTCACTAAAATAACAAGTTTAAATTTAATTTCATTACACCCCAAAAATCGCTACTTTTAACGTAATCCTTTTTCAGTCTAATCCAAATGTATTAATCATGTAAAATGTTAGATGAATGCTTCTTGTTGAAAAAAGAATAAAAAAGACAAATAACTAAAACAGCATTGTGATGTTGGAATCTAAGAAGGATTTAGAGGTGCTTATCTCTGCACTGCACAAAAAATGCTAAGTAAAAGGGGAATTTTCAATGGAAAGGGAATTTCTGGCTTTGGTAATTCGATGATTGGCTAGAAAGTCCAAGTATCCAAAAGAAGAGCTAAAAATGAAATGCATCAAGACGGAAACTTTTCTTCCTAAATTATGGTGTACAGGAAATGCCTACTAACCGCATCCAGCAAAATATTAGAAGTCTTGAAATCTCGATAAATAATTTGCCTTTCTGCACTATGAAGAAAAGCAAGCCCTTTTGCAGCATCTAAAGCGATCTTCATTCTCCTTGACCATGTTAGTGTAGAACAGACTCCTAACAAAAAAAACACAAACACACCCAGCTGATACAACCATTTCATCAACAAAGTTGAACATCAAATAATATCATAAAATGAATTCATCTTTAAGTCAAATAGACAGTTTGCTAGGGAATAAAATAGAAGATGTACAGCAGACTAAAAAGATAACAAAAATAATGAGACGAAGAAAGGAAACATCTATTTATTTTTTGAATGTTCAGATTTCTGCAGCATCCTTTTCATTTATTGTTTCTTAACAATATGGAAAATATAGCACCAGAAAATCCCTTTCTAAATGAGCCAGAGCCATAAAAAAACAAACCAACCCCATAATTTGGTTTGAAATACAAGGCATCAGAAGTCTCTCATTTGAGCACTCCACAAATGTATAGGCCCCTTATGACATGATCACCAAGAGGCCAGTACAGAGTAATCATTCTGCTGAATACAAACAAATCATAAAGGCAACTACTTACTTGGGAAAAGGTGTTTCTCCAGGCTTCCAGAAGCCATGTATTCATAAACCAACAGCCGATGGTCATCGTCACAGCAATATCCAATGAGCTTCACCAGGTTAGGGTGACAAAGTTGCCCCAAGTAGTTCACTTCTGCCTGCAAGGAAGCAATCAAAATGGTGTCACAGAATGACTACATTTTTGCTTTACAAGAGATGCACCACTCGAGGAACTACAAAACAAAAAATAAATAAGCCTTCTGTTATAGAAAGACATTCATAACTTAGTGGTCAACAAACAGACCACCATGCCCAGAGGAGGAGGAAGGAGGAAGGGGAGGATTATACAATATGAATACTAAAGAAGGGGCACAAGGACAACTTATCAAATGAAGCTAAACACACCAACACAGTTTAGCTGCTTCATTTCCGGACAACCAGGAAATTGAGAAGGGGAAAGGACAGTTCCTGTAACTAAGTTCCTTACCTGAAGCTAACTTTTCTGCTTTCCTATTCCGATTACCATGTTAGCATCAATTTTGGCTTGACTTTGTGCATCCAGATTTATGCAAATTTCTTTGTCAGCAGATAATACTTATTGTTCATACCTATTCCAAGATCTCCAAGAAATTTGCTCAACACTCAATGAAGGCCAGATATTCCAGTATTAAACCCTTAAGCCTCCGCACATTTCAGATTGGAAAAAGAAGTTCAAGTCTCAAGGGGAATTTAGCATAAACCATTTAAGGAAATTATCCAACAGAAAAACAAAGTCAGAGACTCATGGATAGATAAGCAAATTAAACACTAACCCTCCAGACATATTAGATTGTAAAAAGAAGTTAAGTCTCAAGGGGTTTAGCATAAATTATTTAGGAAATTATCCAAGAGAATACCAAAGTCAGAATCTCGTAGATGGAGAAGCAAACTTTCAACATTGAGTTTGCTCAGACCTGCTCCTTGAGTGGCCTTGGCCCACTGGGTGAGTTTTAAGTAGTTTAAGATGTGTTCTAATGTATGATTCCAATTGCAGACTGCCAGATACTTCATATTCAACCCTAACTATGTCCATTTGAGGCACATAACTGGTAACTAACAGAAAAGGAAATTGAGAACTGCAACCATGGATGTTTACTATAGCTTCTTATATTTGTACCACATGCTTCCACCACATAAACGAAAGAATTCATTTTCTTACCACCTACAAAGCATAATCAGAATATGAGTATCTCAAGTATAAATGATTTCATTAAACAAAGGCAAGTCA